TGAGCACACTGGCTAGGAAAAAAAGCAAAAATAGTATTGAAAAGTTAACATAGGTGGAGGCTTAATTTTTAAACTACCTGATGATGCTTCCATATCAATATAACAAATGGCTTTGCTGTTCTTGAGCAGCAGGTTTTTTCCTATATATTCATTTGTAAAAATGATATCCCCCATTGTGGCCCTACCCTACCCCCAGGAGCCCCCATTTAAACAAATTTGATTCTACACTACCTGAGGATGCCTTCATAATAATATGACTAATCATGACTTTTCTATTCTTGAGAAAGATTTTTTCCTACATATCCCTATGTAAAACTTTGATCCCCCATTGTGGCTTTAACCTACCCCCGGGGGTCATGATTTGAACAAACTTGAATCTACACTACCTAAGGATGCTTCCATATAAATATGACTAATCATGGCTTTGCTGTTCTTGAGAAGAAGAGTTTTTCAGAATTTTCCTATGTAATCCTATGTAAAACTTTAATGGCCCATTACGGCCCCACCCTACCCCAAAGGGTCATGATTTGAACAAAAATGAATCTACATTACCTAAGGATACTTCCAAATAAATATGACCAATCATGGCTTTGCTGTTCTTGAGAAGAACAGTTTTTAAGAATTTTCCTATGTATTCCTTTGCTAAACTTTGATCGCCCGTTCTGGCCCCACCCTACCCCCGGGGGTCATTACATGTATTTGACCAAACTTGAATCTACACTACCTAAGGATGCTTCCATATAAATATGACTAATCATGGCTTTGCTGTTCTTGAGAAGAAGAGTTTTTAAGAATTTTCCTATGTATTCCTACTAGGGTTTGCAACGAATATTAGAACATTCGAATATTCATTCGATGAGTTGATATTCGAATATGAATTTAAGATTCGAATATTTGGTGTTTTTCAGATTTCATAAAAAGAAGTACTGTAATTAATAAATTTTGATTAGAATAGTGCTGGAATTATCCCTGATTAATTTACTAGCGATCAATTTCGATCGCCTGATTTCTTTCACTACTTTCTTATCTTATAGATTTACTAAATTTCAAGCATTTTGTTTTGAGTAAGGTGTTGAAGAATTGTACAATGTATACTTATCAAAATAATTTTTAATTGATCATTCAAATGAATGTCCAATAGAATTAGACTGTCATTAATATTGTAAAGGGCTCAATTTCAGAATAAATGATTATATCTTAGGTTGTACATAATCCTGAATTTTATATTCTTTATCGGGAAATTACTTAATTACTTAGGAAAATTGTCTTTGGAAATATTTGTTTATATTTTAAAAACATCGTATCATTGATTATACTAGTAATCATATCTCTTATTAGGCAGATAATTGTAATTTATTATACTCATTGAAATCTGAACAGTATACCGTTACGACTATTTTGCCTTTGGTAAGACTAATCAATAGAAGACAATTATTTATTTCAAACATTGACAAATATGAAATGGAATTTCTTATTGTACAACTACAAAAGTCTTCATACAATTTTACTTCCAATAAAAGTATACCTATGCTAAACCTTTCATTAGAGTAGGATGACGCATATTTAAAATAAACCAGATTTTATTTACTTTATCAAATATTCGAATATATTCGAATACTTTCATTGAATATTGGAATATGAATTATTGACAAAATTGACATCCCTAATTCCTACGTAAAACTTTAATCGCCCATTATGGCCTCATCCTACCCCCTGGGGTCATGATTTGAACAAACATGAATCTACACTACCTGAGGATGTTTCATCATAAGTTTTATCTTCTTTTCCCGGCCCAGTGGTTCTTGAGAAGATTTTTAAATGATGCCATTATTTTTTCACTAATTCCTAATTGTCTCCCCTTGAAATAGGGTGTGGCACTTCATTTGAACAAATTTGGTTCCCTTCACCTAAGGATACTTTGTGGCAAGTTTGGTTGAAATTGGTCCAGTGGTTCTTGAGAAGAAGTCGAAAATGTGAAAAGTTTACAGACAGACAGACGGACGGACGCCGGACAAAATGTGATCAGAAAAGCTCACTTGAGCCTCCGGCTCAGGTGAGCTAAAAACTATATTTAAATTATGTATAAGTAAGGGATTGTTAAATCTGGTGATATTTCTGGAACACCGAATATTTCACCGTCTACTTTGTATTGTGTGGTACAAAATATTAAAAAAGAAGAAGGAATCAGTTAAGGAAAAGAGTTTGTAGGTCTAGTTAACTGACAATCACAGTTCAAAAAAGGCTTGGATATTTGCTCAGTAAAAACCAGACTAAGTTTAGAAAATGGTGTTTTATTCCTAGTCCTCCCTCTGCCGAATTTCTTTCTATTTTTCAATATTTTGTCTTATGTGAATCAATAGTAGACAATGGAATACTCAGTGTTTCAGAGGTCTAGCTAGTTTTGCTCTTCTTCGATAATAAACATCTACAATAGGCTTTCTTTTTTATCAAAAGCACTCATTTTGAACATAAACAATCGATCAGAAGTATACAAAGAAAACAGTAAGTTATTTATGAAACCTGCAAATAAAAAAAGGAGCAAGTATTGTCATTTGAAAAAAAAACTGATTTCAAACTATAAATATTTCAGTATTAAAATATTTTGAAAAAAAAACTTCACGAAAAAAATTTCAATAATTTCTTGGAACACTATAGCACAATGTTGACTTGCCATAAACTAAAAACCAGTTTACTGTAACATAAGTAATATACAAGTTACAAAAAAGTATCTTAAGTACGTCCACTAAAATATTCAAAAAGATTTTGTCTTGTCACTACATTGAGTTAAATTATTATAGTTTGAACTGATACATACCACACACACACACACACACACCCTCCCTCACACACAAACACACACACACAAACACACACAGTTCAGCAGGACGTAATTATAAGTTCCTTCGCTACATGGATTTGTTTGAATTAGTTGCAGACATGTAAAGGTACAAATTTGGCACTTATAAAGAACAGCTTCTAAATCAATCAAAGCAAACAATCTTAAAGTATATCAAAATCCAAAGAAGAGATTATAGAATTTACCGAGGAAAAGGATGACTGCACTTAACGCCTGTTTTGGGGTCTTTTTCGGTTGCTTCTGTTGCTTTTATATCTAAACCTTATCTCACTTTTGTATGTTTATGAAAGAATCCTGTCAGTTTGGAACCAAATTTAAATCTTAAAATGATTTTAGACTGTGGTACAAGAAAATGATTAAATGTTTTTTGTCCTTACTGCTTTCCAAACATAGCGAATTTACACTTACCTGCCCTTGATTGAACATTAGATATGCATGAGAGGTGGGGCTAACATTGTAAGAATGGGTCTAAAATTAGACTAGATAAATAACAATGGCATGTTTGGAAAAGCGAACGTGATCACTCTTTCCAATCTCCCTCTCCTTTTTGTAAGGTACAAATACACTTCTGACAAAGGTTTCAAAACGAAATTAACAATATGAGCACGTCAATGTAATTAAAGCAGATTTTACATCAATACCAGATGACTTAACGTGTTCGAACACAATGTCCTAGTTAGCACAAAACATGCTACCTTACAAGTCACGTGACGGAATTTAGTATTCACAAAGTTACCTGAGGTAAGAAACCACGTGAATTATAAAATTCAATATGTCACAATCCTTGGTTCCAACACAGAGAGCGAATGTAAGAAGAAGCAATTTTTTCTCTTTTTAACCATGAACGCATGTTTGTCTATTAATCCCTTTTGACACATTATTATTTATGCAAATATACAACTACTGTTAAACGTAGAACAATAGACAAACATGCGCTGACTATGTATAAAGTCAGTAAAAAAAGTGGGCGTCCTCATTATCGAACGGAGATTCAAGAAATTGTGATGACCCCTGCCTTTGAAAACAGATTCGAACTTCGTAAATACACAATTTTATTATACGTAATTACATAAAGTTGTAGATTGGATGTTGACCATTCTTGCAATGAAAATAAAAATGCTTGTTTTGAAAGTTTATTTTGTCGCAAATTCCGCAAGTCCTTAAGTGCAGTCATCCTTTAGGAAAAATCTTTTCAGAAGAGACACTGGCCTGGGACATGATTACAAGTAGTTATATAACAACATATATGTACGCAAGCAATGTTCCTCAGGCAGTGAAGATTCCAATTCGAATGAATGGGTGTAGGAAAAAAGCTAAAACAGAGCTTTTAATATTTATATTGAAATATACAAGAAATTAGGCTTCTTTTTATGAGATGCAGGTCTAGAATAAAATAATATTTAAATACAGTTTGTTTATGCAGAACATTTCAAAGTTATTTGGATTCAATTTCTTTCATGGGCCTGAGTTTAAAAAAAGTGTTTCCCCGTAACATCATGGTAATACATGTATTATTCATATTAGTGTTAGTGAAGCATCCACATGTAGGTTAAATTAATGTTTGGTTAAGTTATAACCTCTTTGAGCTATGGTGGGCCACAGTATTAGATCAAAATTGTGTATGGGATTAAATAGGAATAGAAATGATCTTATTGTGTTTAAACGGACATGTCTGACACATGTACATGTATTAGAAAAATTCTTTACTTTAGAATTTCGATTTGGGTTTTTGAAACAGTTCTAGCAATAAAAATCCATTTCTTGCATCAAAATGAAATGTTGATATCTGCAAGCTATGTACGATGACCCTCTATACATGTATTTGTTTTTGAGCTGTTCACATATTTTTTACAGAGCGGTCAGGACACATCTTTTTGCCCCCTCCCCCATATTCTGATTCCATACTTACATTTTCTTTTTTCTGTTATCATTGCATGTGTAAATTCTAAATCTATTTTCAGGTTACAAAATTGTTTTTAAAAGTTATTGCAGGAAAATACCAACATTGTACCTACAACCAATATTATATTTTCAAAAAATTCAATATTTTACAGTAGGCTGTACTGAATATATTTTTTCCTTGGTATAAATAATTTCTTGTAAATTTGATCGTCCAGTCACACATATATAACAAAACAGGATATAGATGTGGCACATTTTAATTTCGACAAACTGTGAAATATATAATGACAATGATAAATAAATGGTCAACTAATAGAAACAAATAATAATCGTACAATCAATAGCTACGTGGACGGACATTTTCTTGATCGACACTATACACCAGACAACTTCTGGTGTAAGGGTGGGGGGATACAACCTAGGAAATTTAATTCTCTACAGAGAAATGCAAAATTGAACTTCATTTGACTGAAAACTAAACTCATTAAATAATAAAATAATAATAAACATATAAATTAAAACTCTTTTCCCTGTTTCTGATTTGCTTCAGGATATAATCAATGGGATAAAAAAGATCACAAATATACATGATACTTAAATTTTGCCCAAAGAAGAGTTTCACTGAAACACTGTTAAAGCAATTGTTTCATGTTTACGGCTTAATATTTTTGGATTAAAAAATTTGTAAATTTGAAGTTACAAAAAAAAAAATCCTCCCATTTCTTATGGATTATTTGGATATTTTGCTTATATACATGTACTTCAAAACTAAATAAGATAACAAACTCAAGCCTAACAATGTACAATGACTCAGCATAACTTAATTCCTGGCAAATTATACAAAACTTTAAAGTTGAAAGTTCTGAATTATCAAATTGGTACAAAATTTATCATTTTAAATACAATACAGATAATACTCTGTAAAGGTTGAATCCCGTTTTTCTTTTTAATTTGGCAGGCAATAAAGCAAAAGCTAACAAAAATAAGAAAATAACAAATCACTGGGAAAGGGGAATAACTCTTTGCAATGCCTCAGAATTCCACTCAATGTTTTATTTACCAAATCTTAATTCCTATTCAAATATTAATACACATTTTACAAAGAATGCGTGTATATATTATATTTGCTTTTACAACAACCACAAATTTTCATTCAATTTAATAAAAATTAAAATGATTGAGAGCAGACTTTAAAGATTGTATTTTTTAGCTTAATATGCCATTTAAAGCTAAATTAAATTTTTAAAGATTAGTTAACATTTTTAAAAATGCTTCAAATCAACATATTTACTAGCTGTTAACTCAATACGTATTTCAAAAATATTATAGCACTTTATCCCCAAATATTAACAAATAAATTATTTCACACTAATACTGTACATATCACAACTAGGTAAGAAAGCAATACACAGGTAAAAATAATCTGGGAAATTTTATCAATGTAAATTCTCTTCAATAATCTTTTTCTGATGAAAATATACAGATTTTATCTAACATGTTTTAATCAGAAAACTTTGGCCAGAATGGTTAATTAGGAAGTTCAAGTTTGTGCAAGAATAACAGTGATATAACCTGAAACACAACGGTAAAGGGATATCACTCTGTTCTGTCTCTACTGACACTCTACTGATAAAATTTCCCCTCCCAATAATAAACTACTGTTACATCAGCATTTAACTTTACAAGGGTGCCTAAGCCTCATAACTCGAGTTTAATTCAGCCATAATATTAACAGATATGGCAAATGTTTTTTTCTTGCTAGTGCAATTTTATTGATGTGAGTGTATGGGGCAGAGAGAGAGAGAGAGAGGAGAAAGATTGCACAATTGGCAAAGCCAACACCATAACAACAAGTCGTATACAAATATTTTTTGTTATAAAAAAATCACTAAAATATAATGTTATATATGTTGGGTGTTGTTTTTTTTTCTATTTATCACAACCACAATATAAAATACAACAAACTGGGATTTTCAAGACTAACGGGGAAAAAGTTTATGTTGCCTCACGTTTATTTCATGTCATGGGACAACCGTAAAAAGGGGAGGGGGGTTTACTAAAATGCCCATGTGATATGCATATGGACGGAAAAAAATGTCACAATAGTACTTAGAAACATGTGATATACAAAATCAAATCACAACACCTACATTTAAGCAAAAACACAGCATGAATATTCATATTTCAATCAATTCGATTGTGACCTTGATTATCATATTGAAGGATGGTCATATGATATTTTTCACTCATACAATGAAAACGTGTTTCATTCACACTTGTTAAAATAATCTAACAAACAAATCATCACATTAAAAATATTGAAAATATTTTCCAATATAATGTCAATTCTCTTAGAGAAAACACTACAAGCTCAAATTCTAACAAAACCTGGAATTCCCTGGTCATCTACTTATGAAGAAAATATTTCAATCATGTTACACAGAAGGAATGATCTGTTCTTGGTTTTATGTAGTCCACTTCAATTGTTCGGAATAGCACAAGGGGAAAATGAGTCTGATATAAATAAATTGATCTACAATATTGTAATATTTTGAATGAAAATTCAAACCACAAAGAATGACCTAAAACAACTGTTTTTCAAATAAAATTAAGAATTAAAAAAAAAAATTGTATGATTTTTCAATGACTTTTTTCCTTCCAATTTAACAATACTCTAGCAAGTTGTATACTCTGGAACTAGTAAAAAAAATGTCCACTACTTATTTTTCTAAAAAATTAAAAAAAAATGAACACAAAATGAAGCTGAGATTGAACACAGTAAAATGTGCATGCAGATTTCCGAGCCAGAATAATAATAAAACTTTCTAATGTATTCCTGCCATGTAAAATTTTAATCTTTAAATAAATGAACTCATTTTACAACTAATGATAAATATAATATGTGGACCCATTGTTTTTTTTAAGTGCAATTTCATAACCAAGTCATAAATAATCACTTTCACACAAGAAGCAAAGAAACACTACATTTATCTGCACAGATAAAAAAATTTATGAGATTGGATTGAGCTGTGATTCAGATGATGGTGGGTGGGGTAGAGATATGGGGGTAGGGGTTATTCACAGGCTAGTTTACTGTCAAAACTACTCAGTGCTATTCCAAAAGCTTGAACAGCACAAAGAGGGTAATTAAAATCCATGGTAAACACGTCTTCCGCCACTCTGCCAAACTGCATCACAATATATTCAACTGAAAGCAAGAAAAGAGTTGCTGATTTATTTCTTGGTAGAAATATTTGTTGATTTATTTCTTGGTAGAAATATTTGTGACAAAATAAAATTTGTTTTTTTTTTAATGAATAAAATTCTACATTATATCCCCTTCAAAAATATTTACTCAGGAACACTACCACAATCATTAATGATATGAAAATATCATAATAAAACTCCTATGAAATCACCATTGGATATATATAAATCAAAATTTAACCCTGATTGAATTTTTTCCTATACAATATTCATACAAAAATTTTTTTTTATTTTGAAACAGTTACTCTAACAAATACATAACACAAGTAATTCCTCCTGAAATCATTTCAATCATGCTGAATGAAAAGTTAAGTAAATTTGCTGGCTTAAGCAACCTAATTCTTACCATCATTGTCATGCACAATTTGGAAATTCTTTACAGAAGCCTGAGTGACTCGTCCATGGAAATTTAGCACATATGATTGAGTCTCTACAACAAAGAATACAAAATCATTTACACTGTTGTTACTCTAATACTTTGATGAATTCTGTTCATAAGAGGACAGGGAAATTTAGCAGTGAACAAGTAACCTATACACATCTACAACTGTTCCATAAGAAGTTCAGATACAAGTCAATCAGTAACTGATATTTTCCATTTCAAAATCTTAAATCAATAATATTCTAGTAATTGCAATTCAGTTGATAATGATTTGTTGTAATAAGTGTATTCCACTACTGAGCCGACTTAATTTCATTCTGACAACATACCATCATTCCAGACGGGGGTCTTGTTGTGGAGTTCCAATATATTCTCCATATTTTTCCTCTTGTATCTGTCAATCAAGCCATCATTGTCCTGCAAAACAACAAATCAATATTTATCCAAATCTGAACCTCATCTGTGGTAAAGTAAAACAAGCTTATAGTAAATAAGCTTATAATGAATTGACCCTTACACCGAAGTGGTCATCATTCAAAGATATTGTGAACTTTACAGATATAACAAATTTCGTTTATAACGATGAAAAATTGTCCATCCCTGGCACTTCATTATAAGTGTTTTATTGTATTTTGACACAGTCTGACTGGTCAATAAATTTCCAAACAGCATTTATGTATGATCTAAATAACACTACCAGTTTGATTATTTGCTTCATTGAAAACCAGCTAGATCCGATTTGCAAAACTTTACAAAAAAGTGATTATAGAGAAGCAAAACAAACAATTTAGTTTTCTTTTATCTCCCTTCTTTCTTCTCTATATTGCTTCCATGTGTTGCATATTTAACAACAGATTAAGTTTTAAAATCAAATATAAGTTTTTAAATTTTTTTTTTTATTTTTTTTATTTTTGCATTGAAATCAAATAAATGTTTTTTGTTTTTTATTTATTTATTTATTTTTTCTTTTGCATTGAGCAATGAATTGGTGGCACATCTAGAAGGAGTCTTTGAATCACACAGATGGATGAGGAGGACACCTTTAGTCTCCTATAGTTTCACCGGTAGGGAGGAACTAATGACTCGTATGACAGAGGATAGACTCACTCTTTTTCTTAGCAAGAAATGAAGGAACTAATTCAACTTTTTTTTAAATAAATGAATAAAAGGTTGATGATCAACTTACAGATCTTGGCTTGATGTCTACTCGTTCATGATCCAAATTCATCCCAGGAATAATAATGGTCATTTTTCTTGGTCCTTTAAAACCTAAGACATTTGTTTCCTGCAAAAAATGAGTCAGGAATAGTCATATCAAATAAGCAATTAAATAATTCTCTAGAATAATAACAATCTCTTACCCCCCTCCCCCCCCCCCCCCCCCACCACACACACACACATAAACATACACACCAAAATATTCAATAGCCAAGTGAAGATTTTATTAAAATGTAAATAAACATTGTTTAAATATTGGTAATATGGTAATAATTGGTAAATAATAATTAAATTCACTGTACATCCATGATACATTATTTGATCAATATAAATAATAAAATCTTCATTTAATACTTACATAAATAATTCCAACTAATTCTTTTCTAGCATTTTCATAATTGCTTTTTGGGTTGTCACCATTGTCAAACAAAGTGAACTGGGTCCCTAATAAGTTGGCCCTACAAAAATACAAAGAGGAATTAAAATCTTGGCCAATCACTTATATTGGGACACTGCAAAGTGATACATTACAAAAAATAATTCATACAATAATAACAACATGCATAATTTTTTTTTCTTTTGCTCACGACAGAAATTTATGTGAAACCAATTGCTACAGATTGACAAATTTTTGTGACACCTTACATTAGCAGCATGGTTCTGTAGTATTTATAACAAGGAAATTTTTTTTATCATCTTTAAAAACACAAAAGTACTCTAGAATGACATTTTCACTAGCAGACAGCCTTGTGTAATTACAAAAAATATTAGTTCTTGCAGATTAAAAGTGATTTTCTATACATTCAACAATCTATAAAACTTTTACGATTTCCGATAAGGGAGGTAAGTATTACCTGAGTTTGCCTACATAGGCCTCGCCTCCCCTGGACAGATCTGTAGGATCCGTGGATATCAGGTAGTTTGATGTTTTACTCTTCTTCCTCTTTCTACCAGCCAGTAAAAATACCTAAAAAAAAAAAAAAAAACAGTGGATACACATGTAGAAAGATATCAAAGGAGATTTAAGTACCTATAATTACAAACTCAACAGTTTATACAGAAGAAAACACTGCTCACTAGCTGTATTGATTTGTGATCATGCTAACCTTTCTAATTAAAATTCACATAAGAGATATGTATACCCTTAATTATAAAATAATGGATTTACCCTAGTATAGAAGACATTCTGTTGCAGTAAAATTTTATTGCCATATTTGTGAAAAACAAACCCAAAATTATCTGGTAACCACCAACCTTTTTGCCATCATCTTTCTCTAAATGGAGAAAGTACGTTGGATAAATTCCTCGATCCACACCTTTTTTGTCTCGTGTGATCCGACATTTCATTACATGACCTTGAGGGGCTGGCCTGAGCACAAAATCGTCCAGGTTTTCAGTGAGCTCGGGTGAGTAGTCTCGACCCTCGGCACCTTCTACTGCCTCCTCTTGCTCATCATTCTGGGGAAAAAAAATTGATATCAAACCTTGGTCAGTATTCAAAATTACCAAAAAATTTCATGACATATATTGCGCATTTGTAAAATAATTCAGAAAATATTAAAATCAAACACTTGCTGATGTACTGATTGACAAATTTGTTTATCCTATATACATATAAATTTTTAAACAAAAATTTCATGACGAACACTACTGTATACCTCCCTAACTGCAAGCTATAGACTTTTAATTTACTCATGAATAGCAAAATATGATACTATGCATGATCCCTAAAACAGTTGTACTAAACCAACAACATCATGTGACTGCTAAAATACTTCAAAAGACTCACATCATTGTTGTAGGCAGCCATTTTTTTGAGATTTTTACTGCTGGGGGACTTGGTGGGTACTACGGGGGCACTAGTCTCATCCACCCCGTCGTCTTCGTCTTCCTCCACGTCTGGTTGTTGGAATCCCTGTACAGGTTGGCTGCTGGGTTTCTGTCTCTGTTTCTGCTGAGCTGCTGGGGGTATCGGGGACCGCCCTCCAGAACGATCACCGCCCGTACTGGGGGGTGCCGGAGGCCTATTAGGGGCAGCTTTTTTGTTTTTCGGCTTCTGGCCTTTGCTAGGTTTGTTCGAGTTTTCTGAAAATAAAAATTACCCTATTGTTAAAGAATGGAATCTAAGATATATGGACAATTTAATTTAAAAAAAAAAGTTTTTCCATCCAACTATTTTGTCCTTAATTTGAAATTTTGTATGAACAGTACCCACTTTATTTTAATAAAGATATTTTGCACATGTGGAAGATGAAAAATCAATAATTCTTAATATTAAAAAAAAATCAATCAAACAGATCGATGTTTAACATGTTAGTATCTAAAGGAAACCAAGGATAATAAGTAATGACAGGAAAAAAGTACCTACAATGAATTCTAATGCCTGTTTATTATGCTATGAAGATTTAAATAAATGTAAAGAGAATTCTTCTAAGATTTGAATTATAAAAAAAAAAATTATTATAACTGTTACTGAAAAAGGTAATCTATATCAAAAAAAAAAAAAAAGCAAGAAAAAAATAAAGAATCCTGAAATAGAAAATTAATCAAATTTAAATTGTCACCATGATAAAACTAAATCCACTTGTCAGTATCTTATAAACACATTTTTCATTGGACTCTTATTATGTAAACTACCAGAGTAGTACATTAAGCAAATGTTTAGGGTTGGGAAGGGGGGGGGGGGGGGGGCAAAAAGTTACCGAATTCTCTATGTATCAATCACATCTTCCAAAACTCCAGGCCATTAATCATTAGAACATCATATGCATGATGTGAGGATATTATCCACTAGAAAACAGATATTCTACCAATGTCTATGAGTATCATATACTTGCATGAATACTGGAAAGTCAAAGTTCTACAAATGACAACTCGGAAGGAACCTCAGCTCCAATGTATATCAAAAAAAAGAGAATATACATACTCCAAGGTTTTAATTAAGTCATCAAAATCCCTACAAGAGCCAGACAAACCATGCATGGTTATCAATAATTAGTAGAAAATTCCTATCTTAACCATATGCTAAAGCCTGAGTCTAAAACTGGTCTTTCAGTTTCCCTAAACAACAACAATAGCATTTCATCTTCATCAACAGGTGACTGCCCGTATTGTACACAACATGTTTACATTTTTACCTTCAAGTTGACCAGCCAGAATTTCCTCTTCAGCGGGATCATAATGAAATGCTTCATTAGTCCTATAAGGGCTCTTGTAATCGGGAGAATACTGCCCACCCACAGAATTGGCTTCTGCCATAATTGTCCCTTTTCACTTAACACAACTCCAAATGGGTTTACTGCCTTAAAATTCTCACATTATGAGAAAGTCACGTACCATGTATTACACAGTGCGAAAAAACACAGGGTTTAAAAAAACTTCACAGTGTGATTTTTTCTTTGACAGGTGAAGGAAAGAGTTCAGAAATGGGCCACTTCCTGTTAATTAGCTAATCAATTCCAGCAAATTTAGCAGGAATCAATGCAACTCAATTTATCCAAGCAAGAAAAAAAACATCAACTCATCGTCGATCAATTGCAACAACTTTGCCCTATTCTTCCGAGACTTTTTCCCTCTTTTAATTTTGTTATCAAATACACAACTGACAAGTCACAACATGCGCATCAATGTGAAAAGATCTCCTCTGCCAAAAATTGATGTTCACTGAGCATTAAAGGAGAAAAAAAAGGAACCTTTAATAACAGTTTAAATGCTTCTTGAACCAATTCATTGAATAATGTCACAGTATGTTGTCTTGTGAAACGTCGAGATCTATATACCTCTGGCAGTGCCTCTCCAAGCAGAAACACTAAAGACAATCAACTCTGTGATCTTATACTCTTGAAGACGTTACACGAAATAATGTTACTGAAACTTTGACTTGTCTGGTGATTAACTTGTGACCTTGTCTAGTTTAATGTGGTCAAGAAAAACAAATACCCTCATGTTTATTTTCATTGATAATTGCTTATCAGGGACATTAATCACACGAGTCCAAATTTCATTGATCAGGACAAACATTTACTGTTCAATTACATTATTCAAATATCTTTAACCAAGATGAACTTCAAAGAAAGAAGAAGATACACATCGCTATAGAAATGATGCACATATGACAATCAATATTACAGGAATACAGAAATATCCAGCTATGAACCTTTCCCAATATGATAATATTACTTTCATCTTTTTCAAGATAGCATTTCGGCTTTTATTTTACTTTGTCCAAACATTATATTACTTACCGGTACTTTTGGATGATCACTGAGAAGCAAATATGATTTACTGTTGTACAAACAACTAATTACTTAAGGATGATCACTTAGAAACAAATGATGATGGGCCAAAAATGCACATACAAAATAAGCATTTCTTTATAAAGGAAAGAGGGGGGGGGGGGGAGGGATTGTGTATTCCTGCAGAAAATAGGTCAAACATTTTACTTTAATCAGTATTCAAACAATGATATCAATCTGTCCCTCACTGAATGCACTGAAACTCCAGACTGATAGCTGCCACATTACATAAAGGAATGTACATGTAAGAAAGAAGCTATGCCCTTTTGACCTGATAGTTAAATACCACCAGTCCATGATAGGACATAAGTCCATCTGAGCTAATGCTACGGCTATCAGGAGACAAAGTTATGTTACAGACAGCAGTCATCGAATATGCCTTTAACAGAATGATGAGGCATAACTAGGACTTGAACCAACAACCAATGAATTGATAGAATTTTCCATTTAACCACTAGAAAATACAAAAAAGTAGACTTTTCATGATAGAGATTTGATTTACAAGTTAAATTTTGTTCAGAAACTTAAAAACATATTAATATACAATTAATATTCATGTATAATATAATTAACAAATAAGCATGCACATGAGCTGCCAATTATCATGGATTGCCAAAGGAAGGGAAAAACAAGAAATATAGAAATACAAATTTAAAAAAAAAAATTAATTAAAATCTAGGGAAGACATGTAACTTACAAACACAGACCACTTATACATAAAGATATATTTTCTCAATGACTTGAACTACCCATGAGGCTTAATAATTGATACTTTTGTTTTTCACAACACAAATGGGAAAGAAAAAATATAACCGGGAAAAAAAACAATATCCAATATACTGAAGAAGTATGTTGAACACTTTTTAAGTCCAACACAGCAGGCAAACACAGAAAACACATTTGACCACATAATCCAAAACAGTCGCCTATATACAGCGCATATACCTATATTTATGAAAATCTGCAAAAAGCATATCATATGTTTCTACTGATAAGCAACTAAATGCATGCAAAAACTACATGTTATATCTGAGGACATGATAATAAATAAATAAAGAAAACTGTACTGTTAGTAGTAAATCCCTCTGAGCAATGAAAAATTCTCCCACCAAAAGTGTTAGTTTGTGTGACCACAGCGATTCAAGTCATTTTCAACTTTAAACTCAACTAAAATTTTACAATTAAATATTATTTTAAGTCTAAAAAATAACAAAAGAGTATGTTCAATTTATATACTAATGTTAATTCAAATTATCTACATTATGTGATTTAAGAAACCAGGAAAATTATATATAAATCTCATGAAAATATCTTTATAATTTTATAAATAAGCTTTCATCTCTGTAGATCACGTTCCCTTTCTCCTTTAAAATGCCTAACATCATTCAGAACTGAATAATAACAAAACTAATGCTACAACTAGCAGTGTTATAAAATGACATGTTAGCTATACAGGCCCGCAACAAGACACTGGAAGAAGGTTCAGGATCTACCTGCATCCAACATAGGGATATCATCCACGTCAGAATCATTCTCTGGCTGACGATCATCCGCCCCCGTAATCATGATCTCGGGGGTTCGGGAACGGGAGCGGGAGTTCTTTGAGAGGGAGGTTGAGGAGGTATTTGGAGTGAGGGCTGTCCACTGCCCTCCACCCCCCGATTTGCCTTTCTTGTTTTTGTCTTTCTTCTTTTTGTTTGATTCCTCACCTAATTTTTTGGAGATGATCATGAGAATTTAAATTTTTCTTTCTGCTTAAATTTACGTCACACTGAAAATTTTGGAGGCAGACCTTTAATTCCTAACCAATTGCTCAATCAACATGCATAACTTTTTTGGATGACATAAATCACATATACTTCCACTGTCCAAACGAAATACATAATAAATACATACATTTCTTATTGAATAATTACATGCATAATATAGAAAGCATATGGGGAATAATTTGAAAGTTAACATATGAAGGTTTACAATCATCATGCAATTAGTTCTCTCTTTTTCTGTTATTCCATCCCCATCACCAATGACACTGTTAAATTAAACCATTTCAGGCACCAAATTTTTCCAAAGCTCAAAGGCTGTTTTCTGCACTGGTCAGTTTTTAGTGAATATTGACCCAGTCATCTTGTTTGTCAACTGACAGTGTGTAAATCCTAGCAAAGAAAGTACTACACCTTCTTTTTTTTTCTTTTTTTTTTTCTTTTACATTATATATCCTTACATTCACTATTATACTAAAACCATTGAAAAAATTAGTTCACTGTTTTACTAAAACCATAGCAGGACTTAATTCACCGTAATGCTAAAACCATAGCAGAACTTAACAGAACTTAATTCAGTTTTTTCTCGGTCCCATCGAATTCAAGATAACGAGGTTTGATTGTATTTGTTCACTGCATTCTGTTCTCAAGATAAGCTAACATTTAGTTTTCTATCATGTCTATGATACATGTAGTGACAGAACATGTATTGAATACACAAACTCTGACGAAATACACTGAAATGACTTCATGTGCAGCTATATTTAACTTAGAAAAAATAAATGTGATGGTAATACTATAAATTTATGACAAATAATCTCTCTCTCTTTTTTTTTTTTTTTTTTTTTTTTTTTACACAACTTAGTTATTAAAGACCTTAATCTTACAAAAAAAAATTCTTCCCAACATTTTGCAGGAGAAAAAATATAGTCATCCATTTTCAATTACAAATTAGTTATCAGGTTTGTTTACCTTGATTTATGATCGGAATGTCTTGGATATCACTATCTGGGTCATCACTATAACTATCCTCCGTAACATTGAGGACGGGATACGAGCCATCGTTCCGACGGAGATTTGGCGAGTGACCTCGAATTTCCTCCTCGTCCTCGAAACCTGCAGGACCGATGTATTCTACAAAACATGAAATAAGACATGAAAATATTTAATAGAATTAAGATAATCACTAAAATAAAAATAACATGATAAATGAACCACAAAACATCACGATTGTTTTCAATTGATAGTTACTATGATTATTGTCTCCCTGGCCTACATGTAAACAAGATAAAAGTTCTTTACAGTGAGAAAAGTCTCATAGGATTTTTTTAAAAATTTAAATGAAGGCATTGGTAAAGATTCAAATAATGATTTCAGATGTCAAAATTAGGATCACTAATCTTAAGAGGAATTAAAGAAAAAAAATTAACATTATTTGTTATGAACTGAACCTTTGCTGATAAATCATATGTGAGTGTGCTATATATATACATATTAAATATATATAAATAATTATATATCTCAAAGCCTGTTAACTTGTTTTTTTTTTTTTCAATTTTTTTTTTTAAACATGAAAATGTCAAGACATTGTTAAATTAAAAAAAAAAGATTATGAAGAAATTAAATTAAAAGGTTAGGTTGATAAGTAATAAAATAATAACAGTGAATATTTAACAGAGTATAGTCCATACTATTTGAAATACATGCTTATCTAAAAATTTGATACAAAGTCTGAGAGCCTCAGCTACACAGTATCAGCTGTTCTAGAAGTCATTAAAATAAATGCATATACTTGGACCATGATGCATGTATAGACAACGCTGTTGGTGAAATGACAATATATCATACATTCTAACTGATGCAAAGTTGCTTTCCTTACTAAGGAGAGTTCACAGATAGAATTATTTTCATGTTAATTTATGAGACAGTGCATGAAAATTAATTTTGTCCTTTATGATTTTAAAATAGGACATCCAATGAACTCAGAATTCTGGGACTGCACGTGATATTGCTTAGCCAGATGCTATTCTGCCAACTTGAAGCTATATCTGGTCTTGTTTAATGTTGCATGAACTCTTCAATATCATAAATAATTGAAATCTCAAAGCCTACATTAACAAGATCAAGGCCCATGGGCCACATTGCTCACTTGAGTCACACTAATGGCTTGCTGTTCATCATCAAATTATTTAGGGGAAAAAAATTTCCTCTTTAATTTCATAAAAATTTTGACTCCATATTATTGATGAAAACCTAGTCCTTAGGGGGATAAGGGGGAATTAATCCACACAACATCAGGATGCATCAATATAACTAACATGACCCTAGCTGCCCTTTTGAAAAAAAATGATTTTTTTAATCCTATACATAGGCATTATGTAGAATTTGGATTTCTGATTTTAGGCCAACTCTAATCCCATAATTCATAATTTTAAAAAAATGAAACCACAAATATGATTATGATTTAGTGTGGCCTTGCCACCATTCTTGAAAAGATTTCTTCCAACATACTCCCATGTAAAACACTGATCCCCTATTGTAGCCTCAACCCATTCCTGCATGGGGGTTCTGATCTGATCAAAATTTGAATCTAAACTATCTGAGGATGTTTGCATGTCAAAAATATATTCCCAAGTAAAACTTTGATCTATCATGGCCCCTCATTGCCTTAAGGGGATCATGATTTGAATAAACTTCAATCTATACACTGTATACCTGAGGAGGCTTCCATATACTAATAAATACATGAATAATTAATAGTTGCTTTGCTGTTCTTGAGAAGGAGCTATTTGAAGATTTTTTCCCATATTTTCCTATGTAAAACTTAGATCACCTTTTCTGGCCCCATCCTACCCCCAGGGGATCATTATTTGAACAAAATTGATTCTACACTACCTGAGGATGCCTTTTTCCTATGTATTCCTATACGTAAAACTTTAATCACCTATTGTAACCCCACCTTAACCCCCAGGGGTCAAGATCTGAACAAACTTGAATCTACACTATGTAACAAAGCTTTCACATAAATCTCATCTTTTCTGGCCCAATGGTTCTCGATTTTTAAAAGATGCCATTAATTTTTCACTAATTCTTAATTACCTCCCCTTGAAAGAGGACATGGCCCTTCATCTGAACAAACATGAATTAATCCCCTAAAATTTACTCAAGGATGCTCTGTGGTAAGTTTGGTTTGAAAATGACCAAGTGGTTCTGGAGAAGAAGACGAAACTGTGAGAATTAAGTTAAATAATGATGACAACTACAACAACGACAGACAACGGACAAATTTCAATCAGAAAAGCTCACTCGACCCACTGGCTCGGGTGAACCAAACATTTTGATACCATACAACTGACTGGAGTAATTCAATCAATATTTTTAATGGAATAAGAAATCTGTTGCAGCACAATTGTTTCTGACAGACCAAAATTAAAAATTCCTCAAAGCAGATTTCAAGTTTTTCCTCAGTTTTGTCAAAGGAGGCTAAATGCCATCATGTCTAAGATGGTATTTTACCTCATTACCTCAAAAGAAGAGGTGATATCTTTGTGTTTGATTGTCTGTTAGCATGATTGAGAAAAAAAAAGGCATCTGTAAATTTTACTACGGGTGAGCTCTGTTCATGCAAAATGTGATTAGATTATAAAAGAATACTGGATTTTTAAGGACCTTGGATAGAAAAGGGGGTTAGGGTAGGGAGAAGGGGGGGGTTCAATTCAAACTTGTTTTGATTTTGATGAAGATCTGCAGTCTCCAAATTTATCACATATTAATTTATCACATATTAATTTATCAGGTGTCAGGCTATGATCACTTGGCCATTCAAAATATATGCTACACTGGACTGAAACGTTAAATTCGTAATACGTAGTATAGCTTTCATGCTTGAAAGATTTAAGTAGCCAATTCATGCAAGCTCTAAAATAATGTCTCACTTACCATGCTCATGCTTTTCCAATAATTTCTTTTTTGACTTGTTTTTGGCTATATCATAATAAGAAGTAATAGCAAAATAAAAACTTTCAAAAAAAGGGGAAAAGGGACAATTACCTTCTAACAATTTAAAGTAACAATTAAGTGAAAGATGGGGAAACTGCCTAAACAATAAACAAACCAAAATCAATACGACATGTTGTTTTTGAGAATTATACAAACTCCCAACTAATGCTTAATTTGAGACTTCTATTATCCACCATAGATGAAACAAAATGATAATGAAAAAGAATGGCAAATTCATGTGCGCTGTGCTAAATGACATGATAATTACAAGTGTTCATCCTGGACAACACAGCTGTTCAAACAAAACTTGCTTTTCTTTCTAATAGTTCTTGCCGTCAGTATATAATCAACACTTCAATTAATTAACAATATAATTAACAATTTATAATAATGTTAGTGATTAATTACATTATTTATTAAAAATATATATATTTCAAAATTTTTATAATTATTGGGCATTTTTTCGATTAAAATCTCTAAAGTCTACAAACATTTGATTTTCAATAATCAAATATAATCTTAGATATGGTAAATTTCACTTCAAAGCATGAATTAATTTTAAATTTGTAAACCTCATTAAATATGTTATTTGACAACTATACATTTAGCAAGTTCTGCTCTCCTTAATAGACACACCAAGCTTGACGACAATGATAATTAAAGAACTGTTGATATGTTACCATGGAGATTTGTGGGGGTGGACGGTTTGGATCCCACGAGGGGTTGTGTTTCGCTGCGATGTTTGCGGCCTGAGGTCGGGCGACTGTCGGGGTTGTGTTGTAATATTCCTAACTGCTGTCTCTTTTTCCTAGATTGTTCTTCAATCCGCCTTCTCTGAAAATGTAGAAAATATCAAAATTAAGAAATACTAAACCTAAGCTTTCAAGTACATGTAATACCAGGGATAGGCAACTCCTTCCGCCCGATGTTTATTTACCCCAAACGTCACAAACAACACTGCAAGTTTTTCAAACTACATTTTTTCCCAGTAAAAAGCTTGTTTTCTAATGAATGTAATCTATTCTTTTTGTGTATCTGAATGGATTTTTAATAAATTTTAAGGCACATATTATAAAATAATTTAGATATTAAGTAAACAACCACCAAAATCTGCGAATTCTCGGAAATACGGCCGATCAGGGGCATGCACTGATTTTTAAATAAACGTAATTACTATATACTAAGATAAGGAGTAAAAACAGTGCTAACAACAAATCTTGAATAATTTTTTGATAGATAAATTAAGGTTTAATTCTGAAATATTTGATAGCAAAAGAGATATATTAAATTAGAATTGACATACGAAATCTCGCAACTTACGAGATATCGCAAGACTTGAGAGAGTTAGGCCAAAAAAAATAATAGTCTTGTTTCCTGCTACCCGACCTACCCTATTTTTTAGCCCCCGACCCTAAAGTTTTTTTTTTAAGTTTTGGAAGAAAAAAACTCGGGAATTTCCAGAATTTCATTGTTCTGTCATCGTAATCAGTTTCCGTGTTAACACAAAACAAGCATTTCATGAAATTCTTGTTTTAAATATGGACTTTCATAAAATACCACTTGAGTTGTGCATAAAAAGACATGAAATTTAATTTTAAAAGACAACGTTGACCTGTGACATGTTTAATTTGATCTTGTATTAGTTCATATCCAAAAACTGCTGTCGGAAAAAAATAAAATAAAAATATAAAATAAAATAATTTTCCTACCTACCTACCCTATTTTTTTCAGGGCAGTAGCAGGAAACAAGACTATTATTCTTTTTGGCCTTACCTATCCCGTTAGTATATAGGTCCCTGTTTAAACTAATGACCTTGATTCATCACTTTTGGATCAATACTATTTTAATTGTAAATACACCAAAAAAAAAAAAAAAATTCTTAGTTATCTCTAAAAAATATTAACACATGCTATATTTTTGGGACAAACTTGACACCTTCCTTTGCAAAAATAAGGAAATATGAGCTGCAACCCCCCATCCCTCCCTACTGAGGGTTAGTCCTTTTTTTGATCTTGTTGCCTTAAACCTGACATGAAGCTATGGTTTTGCCCTTTAACTTTCTCAAATATGAAGGTATTATATCTTGTATGTTCAAAAGCTTATAATGGCCAAGGTTTAACCTGACAGCCAGAAAAACAGTCACACCCAAATCAATGCAATTTCCCCTTGATCTCAAATATCAGAGACACTAAAAAGTAGAAAGATAAAATACAAACCAATTTTGTATGTAGTAGTGAGAGTAATTAATTGTCTACATCTTTAGTTCTCAATGTGACATCTGATATGTTTTTTTTGCTTGAAGTTTGATCATGAGCAATTTTCCTTTCATAGACGTCAAAAATGAATTAGACATTCCTTTTTTTCTAGGCATGAAGATGGTTAACGGTTCATCATCAATATCAATTAATATCTATTCTAAAAACATCCCCATCTCAAAATACAAGTAAGTGACGTATGTACATTTTTAAAAAATAATTAAGTTGCAATTCTGCATGAGTCACTGTCGCAAAACTGATTCTTCAGATTTCATGTTTATTTTACTGCCTCTACATACCTTACAAGTCAGTGAGTAATAAACCCCCTAAATTAATTCCGTTGTTTTTAAGACCAAGCTTTAGGTTAAGTATTCTAGTTTATTACTTGAGGACCTTTCATGTTGCATATTTTTTTCTGACAATTTTAGTCTTATAGTAAATATTTTTCCAAAGAAAAATCTCTGTGCTGCCTATGAAAATCATAAAACAGACCTCTTTTTCCAACTTCTTCTGTTGCACATTGAAGTTATCATGATCTTGAATGCTGAAAAACAAATTTAAAAAAAGATTGATTATCAAGACGATTTGACAATGTTCACAAAAGAATCCAGGGTGTGACCTACTTTTGGGTTAGTACAAACCTCCCCCCACCCCACCCCCAATCATGTATCAACTGAAAAAGTTGATGAAGATCAGCAGTTTCCAAATGTAAATATGGTTCTAGGTATTACGGGGTGCAAGATATGATCTACCGGTAGACAAAAATGTGACTATGTATTATCATGAAATTCAAAGACGAGGAGATGGTGACCTACTTTCAGGCCAATTCAGGGTGCAACACCATTGTGGACTCTCAAGACAAGGTTTGATACTGGTCAAAGTGTAAAAGTATGACTCTGACACAAACAAGAGGCACATGGGCCACATCACTCACCTGAGCACATTGGCAAGAGAAATGTGAATATATCAGTACAGTACTGAAAAGTTTAAATATATAAGTGGTCCCACCCAATACCCCCAAGTGGGGGGAGGGATGATTTGAACAAACTTGCATCTACACTACCTGAGGATGCTTCATATTTAAATGACTAATCATGCTTCGGAGAAGATTTTTAAATATTTTTCCAATATATTCCTATGTATAACTTTGATTCCCTGTTGTGACCCCACTCTATCCCCACAGGGTCAAGATTTGAACAAACTGGAATTTACACTACCTTAATAGATGCTTTCATATCAATGTCTTATCTTGGTTTTCCTATTCTTTAGAAGATTTTAAGATTTAAGATATTTCCTTTAAATTCCTATGTATAACTTTGATCCCCTGTTGTGGCCCACCCTACCCCACCAGGGGATCATGATTAGAACAACCTTCAATCTACACTACCTGACAATGCTTCTGTATTAATAAGAATAATTATGGCTTTGCTTTTCTTGAGAAATAGATTTTCAAAGATTTTTCATTATATATATTCCCAATCATATTTATTCCTCTTTATAAATTTGATCCAAGCTGTAGTGGCCCAACCCTACACCCGGGGGTCATGATTTGAACACACTTGAATCTACACTATGTAATAAAGTTTTCACATATATTTCATATTTTCTGGCCCATTGGTTCTTGAGAAGGTTTTTAAAAGATGCAATTTAAATTTTACTAATTCTTAATTATCTCCCCTTGAAAGACGACATGGCCCTTCATATGAACAAACTTGAATTCTCTGGTGGCAAGTTAGGTTGAAATTGGCTCAGTGGTTCGGGAGAACAATATGAAAATGAGGAAAGTATATAGACTAACAGCACATGACACATGACAGGCGACAGACAGACAGACAGACAGTTGCCAGCCACTTTTCAATCAGAAAAGCTCACTATAGAGCCTTCAATCCAGGTGAACCAGAAAACTAACAGACAGACAGGAAGATTTATACCATAATAATTGACACATCAGTAGATGGCAATATAATGAAAGATAAATCGTACAGGTGAAACTTTAAGTAGCCTAACTGACCACTATCTATTATTATTTTAATTAATGTAGTTTACTAATTACCTGCCAGGTGGGCCACTCATTGTCCACTGGTGGTTCTCTTCAAAATCTTGTCTGCAAAAAAAAGGAAAGTCAAATAAATTATCATACAATACAGTGAACCTAATTTCTATCAATATTTTACAAACTATTTCCTGAATCAATTAATGGTTTCAATAATGGAGTCAAATAAACATGTGATGAAATCAAACATGCATGCACATTTACGTAACAGTACCTGTTATGTTTTCAGTGCAGTCGGCAACAAATTCCATTTAAATATAATGATTTTCTGTTGCTTTTATTACACTGTAACTGCCATAAATAAATGCCTTGAAGGGAAACACCTTTTTTCCCCCTAATACACACTGTCATTACTTTCATAACAATGCACATTAAATGCAACACATCATTATATTGTACCGCACACTTGAATAATGTTGTACTTTAAAAAAGAATACGGTTTTCAATAAGATTAATACTAGCCTAAGAACTTGTTGATTAGTATGAAGTACAAAAGCAGAATCAACATGTCTCTAAAGGGGATGACAATGACAATGGTCTCAAAAATTATTTAAAAATAAAAAAAGATGGGGCAATCACATTCTTTTATATTTGCCCCTTCTTATATGTTTTCTCTTGTCATTTTTTCAGGGGTTTGTTTTCCCTGGGAATGAGGGCAGCAGGGACATTAGGGTTCAAAATAATTTTCAGCACAAATTTAATTCCAATCAAGACACTACTAAAAATAAATACACTCATTTTTTCCAGTGTACTACTTACTTGATTTAATCAACACAATGGTTTTTCTTTCAGAAAAAAAAAATCAATATCCTTGGTAGAATAAAACTATACACTGAATTAACACACTTTCAAATTAGGTCAGTTTTAATTTCCTATGGCATTAAGGCAAGTTCCCTGCTCAAAGGTACTTCTGTTTAAACAACACAGCATATAGACAACTTGTCTTTAATATATAGTACAGGCCTTCACTTTGATGCTGTCACATGCAGTGAAAATGTTCATTATACAGCTAAAAACTAATCAATTTAATAATTAATCAGTTAATTATTTGACTGTTTGCTCCTGCTACATGAATGTCAAAGTATCAGATGTGCCTCACTTTGTGCTGATTAGGTGACAATTAAGTCTCATTAATTATTGATGAAATTAACACCTACTAATTAATGAACACCTATCACTTCCAGAATTACCAGACAAAAGTGGAAAATAGACTTTTTCTTAAATTCCAATTTTTCCTCTGTCATTGATTTTTAAAAATCTTATTTATTTTATTTTATTTTATTTTTTTTTTTGTTTAGTTTTTCATTTGCTGAATTTAAAATATTAATAATAACAATTTACTATAACCTAAAAAATTGTGTCTCATTGACAGATTTTATCTGCATATGAAACCATAATTCATACAAAAATAAGACTATCTAATATATACCCTCCTCTCAAATTAATGTAAGAAAATATAATACCATAATCTGGGTTTTTCATTCTGATGTTAAACATTGATATGTCTACTGAATTCTCCTCTTTAATTTGTTCACACACAATAGAAATATAAAGTTCAATATAAACATAATATGTTAATTTTATTTGGCCCCTCAATGACCTATCCATTATGAATCTATCCTTTTATGATGGAGATTTATAACTGTCACAATGACATATAAAACAAACTGATAAGTAACTGAGTTATAGAGTTAGATAGTACTATAAAAGCTTTGACTGATTTAATAGCAACATGATAACTCAAGTACACTTCATGTTATTGTCTTCATATGTTTGCCTCCCTCCTATATCAAACCCTAATAAAGGTACAAATAGTTAGAGGCTTCATGGATAAAAACTCTGCACATCATTTAAAGTCGAAGTCAAGTAGATCTCTCAGTAGTGACTGCTCTGATCTCATGTTTTCACAAATTCATTACTTAAAGGGTCTTTTGGTGAGCCAATTTCTCCATATAAATTGATTTGCCCTATCATTTTAAAAATTATTATTTACTAAGTGGAATGGTAATATGTACTGCAAGTTCCTGTGAAAAGTCACTGTAAATCTTGAAAATCTGCTTCCCTTTCCTATTATTTGGCTCCCTCTTCTATCATTAACTATTTTTTTACTTCTTGAACATGCATTCTATTACTAAGCAGTGACCTAAGATTTTAATTCAACCAACAATGAATTATCAACTGTTACAAGATGCCTATGGACCACAATGCTTACCTGAGTCATCTTAGCCGACTGTTGTTCCTCATAAATTGCCCAACCCTACCCCATGAGGCTATGATTTGAACAAAGTTAAATCTGCATTACCTGAGGATGCTTGCATATTAATATGACTAATCATGACCATGCTGTTCTTGAGAGGGTTTTAATTTTTTTCCCTACAGATTCTCATGTAAAAATTTAATATACTGTTATGGCCCCACCTTACCTCCTGGAGGTTTGACTTTAACAATCTAGTGTATTACACTATCTGAGGGTGCTTGCACATAAATATGACTTATCATGACCCTGCTGTTAAAAAAATCTACACACTCCCATGTAAACTCCGAACCTCTGTTGTGCTCCCCTACTTGATTTAAATAAATCTGAATCTTGACTACCAGTTGAGGATGCTTGCATACCACTACTCATGGCCTTGCTGATTTTGAGAAAAGATTTTTAAAGATTTTTATTGATACATCTACCCTATTTTGACATTTTCTTGATTATCTCCCCTATCATGAGGATCTGGCCCTTCATTTGAAAAAATTTTGAATCCCTTCACCCAAGGATGCTGTGCTAAGCTCGGTTTAAATTGGTCTTGATCAGCGGTTCTGCAGACTAAACTAAAAAACGTGATTCAGAAAAGTATACATACAGATGGACAATGGACAAACTTTGATCAGAAAAGCTCAGGTGAGCTAAAATAAAAAAAACCCTGCAAAATCAATTTTTTTCTTTCATGCCTGTATGGTAATCCCCTAACATTTAAGAAGGCACTAATATGGACTTATGTGTTAGCTAGCTTAAATACACCAGCATAGCATGTCAGTAGGGATAATTAAAATAAAATCACATTTATTTATCTTAAGAACTGTTTAAAGCTCAGCTGCTACTATTAGTCTGCTAGTGAGCTTGACCTGAGGCTGAAGTTGAAAAATAATCTAGATTTGCAGTCTTTACACATGCAACCTGTCTGTCTAGTTCTTTGCAAAATAATTCATATACACTATTGAATGTGTTTTAATCTTACCTTCACCACCCCCTTTTTGGCAAATGTAATTTTGTAAAAGGTGGACCTGATCTTGATACTCAATTTTCCAAACACCCAATTACTTATTAGGAATCATTTGCTAATCAATGTTCTGTTTCAATGTGGGACGTGGTACAATTGATAAAGACAATTATTAGTTTACTGTCATGGTGTACCATCCGTACATCCCTATGGTTTTGAATAATTTTCATTTCGTCACAGCTGATGTCTTGCAAAAGTCGATGTGACCTCGACATCAATCTACACTGATGCGAAAACTGCATCTGATCATATATAGTCCCTTAGTGGGTTGCAGTGGAGTGTCTGCTTTATAAGATCATAATGCCTTAGTATGTTCTATCACAGAGTCACACTGCAATGGTGAGAGAGCTGGCAATGTCAATGAACATCGTCATTTCCTAAATTAATGCTTTCATGTAATTTTACTCAAACAGTCATTAAAAGTCATATAGCACAGGAACATAGCATAATTGCTTTTATAATACATTTTTATAATAATTTTTACTCTTCCAAGTTAAAACCTTAGTTGAATTTTTAGCAAGACATAAATTTATGGACCTTCTCCTTCTACCTCTGATGAAGAATGAATTGTCAGCAGCATTCAATTGAAACTACTTCTAATCAACATTCTCTCAAATAATGCCCAAAATTATATCCTTCCTAAAAAATCTGTTTCCACGATAGGTTTCAATTAAGGCATGGGAAAGTATATTTTTTAAGAAGAACATACTGCCTTCCCAAAACCAAAACTTTATATGCTCCTCCCTTTGAAAAAATCCCTTGCTTCAAAAAGAAGGATAAATATTTCGAAAGAGAATCGGTTCAAGGCAAATCAGAATCTTGTTTTATAATTTAAATAGAGAATGTTTTCCCTGTAAATATTGGTTTCCAGACTGCAAATCCTGATGTATGGTAGGTCATTTTAATGGTGGTACATGGCAGGTAAACAATATATCCTCTTACTAAGAACAATGATCCTTTGGCTAATAAACTTTCTGCTCTGAGCCCAAATCAATGTTTCATTAGCTCTGATCTGAACTTAACATGCCTTCAAATCAAAATACCTTCTCTGCAGAGATTTATACATTTTTGGCAGGTTATGCTGTTCAAGACCAAGAGATGGGAGTCCAATATTCTCTGTTGCTGGTTTTTTTTTATAAAAAAAGAAAATCAAAGATGATCAATGTTTTGCACATAGATTGTGCTGATGGTATATAGATTTTATGTCAAAGTAATGGAAAATATACAAGCAATGAGTTATTAATAAATGATGGTGTTAACTTAGCATGTAACGCATTATACCAACAATGCAAACATCGAAGCCTGCTGACTATTTAGTAACATCAATAACTTTTATATTGACCTAGTCTAAATAAATGGAATTATCAGTCATGTAATTGGTGCTCATTCCTCTGTAGCCAGCAAATGATTGTTCAATGGCTATGCAGTATAACTTGCAAATCAAGGAAAGACATTGAAATATGAAGATAATGAACAGAAATCAAGCTCAAAAGTCCACTGAAAGAATATATTAAATTGGGAGCAGAGCAAACATGGACCTCTAAAAACATCAGAGGTGGGATCAGGTGCCATGGAGGAGTAAGCATCCCATGACTCAATACAACAAATTCAAAAATATCAAGGATGACAACCTCAATGATAACCTCAAAGTCATAACATACTTAGATTGAAACAAATTTTTTCATCTCAAATGCATTTACTAGAAGCTAAATGGTCAAACAAGGGAGAATGCCTCTTTGACCTTGAAGTGTGTCCTTGATCAAAAAATTCAGAAACCTTCAA